CTTTCCAACTCTAACTATTCTATGATTCTAATATTCACTGGAGCAGACTGAGAGGTCATGAGATGAGGTTGTGCCACAGAGAAGTGGAAGAATGGCAAATGCCACACTTCCTGTCCTGGACTTGCTGCCTCCCACCATTATGTTTTCAATTGAAGAATGAGCTTGATCATGGGATCTTCTTCTCAATTCCTTCCTTTTGTGAATGTTCTCTTACTCTCACAGTTGCATCTAGAGGTTCAGTACACTTCTGTTTCAACCTTGCTGTAGGTTTCAAACTCCACCGCCATATTGGAAATTCTCAATCTCCTGATTTTCATGCTTCATGCATTATGAAACAACTTTTATTTTATTTGGGACCTCAGCATTTTTTAAGGAAACCTAATTCCTTAAATATTTGTAATTTGAAGTTGTTTCAGTCACTGGTGATTCTTACAATACATTAAAGATCCTGTTAGTATATGATGTTTATTTCTCCTGAAGATATTTGTCACAAAGCCTAAGTACCGGACTTTTATGCCCTGTGGACAGGAGCTTTTCTCCATGACTGTGGACTGTCAGAACTCTTTTGCCCTCATGAGAATTATTACCCTCATAAGGTGTGCTCCAAGCATAGAAGAGAGCAGGAGGTAAGCACTTCAGAGAGCATCTAGAGAAGCAGGTGTCAAACTTTCCGAGATAACTGTCTGCCTTGAATCAAGCTTAATCCTGTAAGTCATCTTATTACCCACTTGGGTTTGTCCATTTTAGCCTTGCCCACATGCTTACATGCCACAGCTGTTCCTTTCTGCCTTTGTGTTCATAGGCAATGCAATTGTTTAATTATATTCTGTGGTTTAACAAATCTTTTAATGTAGTCTTTGTCTATAGTAAATAGCATGATAAAGAGCTCTTCTTTGAATGGGTGCAGGGATTATGTTGGCAACTGGTCATACCTGGAAGCAGCAAAGAAGATTTGCACTGAGGACTCTACGTGACCTTGGTCTGGGGAAAAGAGGTCTGGAGCATCGAGTTCAAGAAGAGGCCCACTACCTTGTAGCCTTTTTTGCAAGTATGAAAGGTATCTCTGCAATAAATACTGATTCATTTTTGTCATTAGTCTTATGTCTTTAGTGTATGAACTTCTCTGTGCTGCTCTGAAATTAAGGGCAGCTTTTGTTCCACAAGAGAGTGTGAAGGGTCTTACAGTGTCTGTGTGGAAGGGACTGAAAATGCAAAGACCCCAGTCCTGTGTTTTCGAAGAGACTATTCTTGTTCAAAGTTATTTACAAAACTACCAAAACTGGGAGCAAAACTGGAGCTTATTTATTATTTATGTCATAGAATGCTTAAAGTGGAAAGGTATATCTGAAAATGGTCTAGTCTAACTTCTCAAATCAGGGTAGGTTTCTTAGGCCTGAGACCAGTTGGGTTTTAAATATCTGCAACATTGGAGACTTCACCACCTCTCTGGGTAACCTGTTCCAGTGTTCAATCAGCCCTACAGTAAAAGAAGTCTCTTATGTTTAGGCAGAATTATGTATTTCAATTTTTGCCCGTTGCCTCACTTGATACTACTGAGAAAAATGTAGCTCCATGTTCCTTATTCCTCTCTACCAGGTATTTATACACACTTAAGATACTTCCCTGAGCCTTTTCTCCAGACTAAACAGGCTCTCTCTTATATCAGCTGCTCCAATCCCTTAGTTGTCCTTGTGGACCTTTACTCAACTTGTCCCAGTATGTTGATGTCTCTTTTGTACTGGGGAGCCCAGAACAGGACCCAGTACTCCAGATGGGTCTCACCAGTGTTGATCAGAGTGGAAGGATCGCCTCCCTTGACCTGCCAGCAATGCCTTTCCTAATACAGCTCAGGATTATATTGGCCTTCTTTGCCTCAAGGGCATGTTGCTGGCTCATATATGGTGCTGGTGCATAAAGGTATGGATACATTCTCAACGCAGATGGATTAAGGCTTGTAACACCATTTGCACATACTCTGTAAAGCAGTGATGAAAATCTAGTCTTCATGTCAACATTTTACCATGATCAGCCCAGCTAGGAGCATGTTAGTTGGATTTCTCAATACTCATCATTACTGCAAAGGCACAGTAAATTGGGACATGCTGTGGCTTGCGTTGTATCAGTTATAAGTAATTAAATCCAGACCAGTCTCATGGTTTAAGAACTAGGAGAGTTTGAGATGTGACCATGTGTGCAGGAAAAAAAACCCCAGACCAATAAGTTGCTGATCAGAATCGCGCAGTGGGTGCTGGACAGTTGCATTAGTACATACATAGAGTTGTTTATAGTTGTTTATTCTGGACTCATGAAATAGTTCTATTGGGATTAAGTTTTCAAGGAATTGCTTTAAAATTAGTTATGACAGAATATGACAAAAGTTTATGACATTATGTCTTACAAGAGGTTGTACACCTCTAGCAAAGTCAGGCAAAATATAGTAGCCTTACGTGTATTTATGTCCTTGCTGAATAAGGCTGCCCCTCTTCTTATGGTTCTCTCCTCAGATTCTCTTTGGCTACAGTGTTCTCAGACATTCCCATGCTTGAGACTTATTTTGAATTTGCCAGACAGCAAATTTGCATAGATTTTTTTTTCCTTAGCTCTAAATTTGCTATAACATATGAAGTATTTTACACATCTGATGTTACTTTAGGGTGCCACACATCCTGAGTTTATGAGATTGAACCATAGTTCTGAAGAAGATGAGTATGCTACAATTTTGGAAGAAGATTGGTGCTACTCTCTGAAATGCAATGCTGTCTTTGGGTAACTTATAAGATAATCTCATTTCGCTAAAGCAGACAAGAAACAGTAACAGTGACACTTATTATTATGGTTGCAGGGAAACCTCTGGATCCTTCTTTCCCTCTTGTTCTTTCTGTTTCAAATGTAATTTGTGCTGTTGTTTTTGGACGTCGCTTCTCCAGAGAGGATGAAACCTTCCGTGAACTGATTAGAGCCACAGAGCACTTGTTCAAATTTGGAGGCAGCTTTATTCATCATGTAAGTAAACAATCTGTTGTCTTTTTCAGAATAAGGCAGAAAGTGAGAAATGCAGATTCAAGAGGTAGCTGCTAGGCAAAAGTTTTTGAATGGATGAGTGAAGAGAGTGAGAAAAGAATTATCCAAGTACTTAAGTGTTTCGCCACTGGCTACTTGTCTCCATTTCCTCTATAAGAAGTGGAGACTTGATGACTTCCCAGAGAAATTCCATTTCTTCACCCTGAGTGAGGAGCAGGTCTATATGCAGGCAGCAGAAAATAGTAAATACTAAGCCAGCAAATACACCTGTAAGCTTGGCAATCAAAACAGTCAGTTTTCTTCTGAGAGTTGAGGTCTTACCTGGCACTAGAAGAGGCCTGCTTTGCATAGAAGTGTATTTAAATTTGCCCAGGAGTTCTGGTTCCACTTCTGAAGTTGTCCCATACATCTTACGCAGTAGCTTCATAATGTAAAACACGTAAGCAGTCTCTGTAACACAGAGATTTCCTCCCACATCCCAAGGAACATTCCTCTCATTGAGTTATGACCGGGTTCCCTTTTGCTTAGCTTAGCTTTGGTCCTATGAGTTTTGTGTAGTGGTGGCAGGTGAGACTAGCTTTTGGGATAGAGAGAAGAAAAGGAGGTATATTCTCTTTCCTAATCAAGCTTTGCTTTACTCCAATGATTTAGATACTCTTCTGGGAAATAAGAACAAGGGTTCAAACCATTCCAAAGTGAAGGTTGCAATCTTCCCGCTTCCTAGATGCAAAGGGTACTCAGTATTATGTAAAATGTGGACATTGCTGCATCCACACCCCCATTTCTTAACTGGATTCCATCTTGTCCAGCATTGAACAGGAGAACGCTGTGGACTGGGCCCCTTCAGAAATGGAGGAGGAGTTTTGGCAGGACTGGTAGCTGGGAAGGTGGATGGGCTCAGTTCTTGTCTTGAAAGTTGACAGCTAAATTCTACTTACAGTTAGGGTGCCATAGTAGCTAGAAAGTGCATGCATTTGAGAGTAGGAAAGTATGTAATCTGGGCAATCATATATGATTAGTCAGACCACAGTTGCATGTAAGGCTTCTGAACAATACCAGAGGTGGAACTAAACAAAATGGGTCTGAAGTTCTATGTGAATTGATAATTGTATGTGTGACAATAAGAACTGATCTTCCAAAAAGACTAAAGTACTGTCTATCACAGCCAGCCAGCCTCCAGTGAACACCTACTAACGTGCTTCTTGCAGTGTAATTATGGGAGTAGAAGAGCTCAGCAAAATGAAGACTGGGAAAGGGTAGAACTTCTGCTGGGAAATAAATTGTGGGATTATATTTCCAGCACGAAAAGAACTATGAAGAGAAAATACTTTGCAGTTACAAGGATGTTACAAATTACTCAGGCATAAATATAGGGTGAAAATCAGAATGAACTTTCTGGCTATTGCAGTAGGTAGAAAGCAGCTATTCTTAGGCCAGATTTTCCCAAACTGCAGGAGAGAAGGATAAAACTAATAAGGTTATGTCAGCTAATCCTGTTTTCTTTTCTAGAGAAGCACTCAGAATTGTCAGGTAGCTGTCCTAGCTTTTCTGGGTTTCAGATGTTTCATGTTTTATTGAGGACTCTTGGGGAGTGCTTTGGGGGATTACTGCATTCCTATACTGCTAGCCGGCCCTTGCTCTTGATTATATGAACCGCTTTTGCGCATTCTGGCAGGGATAGTTTACAACGGCTTTGCTTCTGCCTTCCTGGTACTCTCCACTGGAGGGCAGGATCTTACCTTTAAACGTCTGAATACAGTTCATTGTAATTGAATACATTAATTGAATAATGGAATAAAAGAATACAATTAACTCTAATTCTAATTCTTCTAATTTGGCTTGTGGTTGAGCTGAAAGCCGGTGGAACTCTGAATCTTACCATAAACACAGCCAGAAATTATATGGTGCACTGTTTCACAACTTGAAAACACAATCATAGTCTTTGTCAGAATATTTTACTAACCACGACAAAACCACCTGCTAACGTTGAATACTACCTTCTCTTTTTAGTAGGCCTAAAATACATTGTCTAGTGATGGAAACTTTGTGTGTCACTCCTGCAGCTGTATGAAATCTTCCCCTGGCTGATGTGCCACCTCCCTGGTCCTCATAAGAAGGCGTTGTCTTGCTATGATGTCCTGAGCTCTTTTACAAGGAGAGAGATTAGAATGCACATGGAACGTGGTACACCAGATGAACTGCAGGATTTCATTGACTTTTACTTGGCTCACATTGAGAAAGTAAGTATTTGTTCTGCTTAATCATTCATTCACGAGGAATAAGGAGAAATGGACCATTAAATTGTCCAGTCTCAGCCCTTCTATCACAATCTCTTATCTTCCATAGACACCCTAATGTGAATCCAGTAATCAGGGACTTGCTGTATCCTTCCTAGCTATTAATATACCACAGTACCTTGCAATTCTTTAATTAAAGGGCAGGTTAACACACCACATTTTTCTCATTGGCACAAGTTGCAAAATGATTTAAGACCTCCAGGAAAGAATACTTTATTTCTAAGTGGACCACAAGAGAACTGGGAAGGTCCAGGGGAGACAGTGGGATGTTCTGGATAGGATATTTGGCTGATAAGGGTTTGTCAAGAGAAGTTGCTGCAGGAAGACAGGTGAATTGGTTTTTGAGAGCATTTTGTGGGAAAATAATCCAGGAGTCAGTGGAGTTTCAGACAAGGCTGGAGGAGAGTTCCAGGGGCAGTTGACAAGTTTCAAGTAGACAAAGGGAACTGGGACAAATAAGAGCATTCTGGGCAGGCACAGTAGGGGTAGGTGGGAATCTCCATCAAGTTTTGAAAGGCTGTGGGAGGCTTGCAAAAGCTGTGAGTGGGGACACATAGGTCTTCCTTTTCTAGACCTTACCAGCATGTAAGGTCTGAATCTCTTTGGAACTGGATCCCCTCCCTTCACTGTGACTTCTACTAACTTCCCTCAATGACTTTTCCTTTCTCTTCTTCTCCACTGCATTAGGCTATATTTCTCCTCCTGTTCTGCTTGATGATAGAAAAGGGATAAAGGGGAGAAGTGACAAGATTAGAGGGGTGCTACTGGAGGGTGACAAGGTGAGAATGGCTCAGACAGCCAAACAAGGTATTCCAGGTAGAGGATGTCTATTCTTTCAGCCCCCGGAGAAGTGGAAGTGACTGCTGCTTCTGGGAGGCAAGGCTCCCTCCAGGGACAGCCAGTGCTCCTTCACCCTGGGCATGTGCTGGCTGCAGCAACAGACAGCACTGCAGCCTTGTCAGGCTGTAGCACCCATCCTGCACCTCATGGCACAGCCCAAAGGGGTCTGCCACCCTGGACTGCTGCCTGTCTTCTGTATGGCCTGAGCTGGCTCTGCTGCTGTGCTCAGTCACGTTACAGAGACATGCAACTGAAGAAGAATGTCTATTAGCGATTTTTGTCAGCCGGCTTTTTAGTCTTTAGCATGTGTCTTATAAATACTTTATAGTGCTTGACTGGTTTATTATTGTGTGGAAAAAAATAACTATCTTGTGGAACTCCAAGTGTATTGCAACTGTGAAATTGTCATTATTGTCCCAGCTGGTAATTCTCTCAAAGAATCAAAGCAGATCTACTTGCCAAGATCAGTTTCCTGTATCATAATAAATAACATTAATTTGTATTTCTATCTGGTAGTTCTTTATCAATTGATTCCCATATCAGCTGCTATATTTTTATGTCCTGGGTGGGTGTCAGCCTAACTGGCTTCTGGTTCCTTGGATCCTCTTGGTTTAATTTTTTCAGTAATGGCACAATATTAACACATCTGCTCCTCCAAAGTGTTTCACTGCTTCTAAAGCATTTCACTGCTTTTCTAAGATCTATGAGACTTGAACATCAGTGGACCAGACATTGTTTGGGCAAGCTCTTCTGGAACTCTGCTGTGTGGAAATCATCCAAGTTCATTTATTAAAAATATTGAACTGTTTGTAATAGACACACAGGAGCAAGAAAAAAAGATTAGATGATTTTACAACCAGGAAAAACATTCTTCCCACTTTTCCAGTTGCTCCACTGGCAAAAGAAAGGTTCAAGACCCCTGAGCATGGCCTCCCTAAATTTAGAAAATGAATTCCCCCAAACCATAATAGTATTCTTTTACAGTTTCAGAACATACAAGTATATTCTCACAGTTCTAACTGAAAACTGTAAAACCCCAGAGCAGCTGTACATACGAGTCGTTGTGACCTCTCAATGCAGGAGCAGCCTGAATACCATGGGTTAAGAACTTTTGACAACCGAATGCTCATTACCTGGTCACTGTATTGCTTGGTAGAAAAACTGAGTGATGGAATATGACCTGAGGCATGGAGAATTACATGCTGGTACACATCTTCAGAGAAACATCTCATTTTACCACTATTTGCAAAATTAACCCAAAAATCCATCTCTGGAGAACATGTGATTTAGCTTCATGATTGAGGGTGGAGGAAACATGGCTTGTTTGTGAAATGTCAGCTTTTCATATCGATAATAATCTCTGGTGTCTAATATTCTTTATTAGTCTCTCTGTATTGTACTATAGGCAGAGCACACTGCAGCTTGGAACCGGTGATAAAATCACATCTAACCCTATTCTGTTTTTTCTAACTTTCATGTATAAACCTCTACTTTTTCTCATCCTTTGCAGACCAAAGATGAACCCAGGTCTACATACAATGAAGACAACATGGTTTATTCTATAAATGACCTTTTCTTGGGTGGATCAGAGACAACAAGCACTACTTTGAACTGGGGCCTTCTCTATATGGTGGCAAATCCAGACATCCAAGGTGAGTAGCTAAGCACATCACAGATATCTTTGATGCAGCAGAACAGCTAAGTCATAACATTTTCATGAATCAGATAGTATTCCTATATATTGCTATATGCCTGTGGCACATGGGCCTTTTTGTACTGGTAGATCTGCACTGGGCAGCATTGGTAGATCTGCAGATCTGTGTACAAGTTCTTACAGCAGTCATGGGCTTAAGGTAGTTCCCAGAAAGAGCTAACAGTTGGAGAAGTGTGCATTTTATAGGAGGGGTTAAGGTCTTTGGGGAAATTAAGATTGTGGTAGGATGGTCAATGGAGTAGGAGGACTGGAGCTGCTGTATGGGAAGTCAGAGGATTTGCACACATAATGCTTGAAGAACAGCGGCCACTGCTGCAGCCATTGGTGAGGTGCTGGTGGTACCTCGAGAAACTGATATGGGTTCTGTCTGAGATGTAAATGTGACTGAAGGCTGAAAAGAACCAGAAACTGATGTGTGATATTAGGGATGTCACTCTTTGGAATATTCCTTCAATTCTGCTTTGTCACAGCTGGGTATCAGTGGTGGGGGCTATGGTGAATCCTGCACTTCTCTGTGCTCTGTAGGTCACAGAAGTGGTAGAGAAATCACCTAAAGGTCAGTTGGCAACTTTGACTTTACTTTTGTCCATCAGTCCATTTATGATCCCAAGGTATCACAGTGTCTGTCTAACCTGTGATTAAATTAATTCTGGGATGTATTTGTATTGCAATAGAAATTATTCCAGTGAGGAGAGGAATTTGATGGCTCATCTGTTATGTCTATATATTTAAGAAGTTTATTTTTAAGTCTAGCTTTTAAACAACCACCAATCACTTTCATAGAGCACTGAGTGAAAACCAAAGAAAGAATGATCCCTTATGCCAGCTGACAGAAATCTCATTCTTAGATATGTGCAAATACCCAGAGGAGAACAGGATTTTGGATGGAGGAAAGAGATGAAGATAAGAAAAAATTGCTCAACTTGGAGCTATCAGACAAGAAGGTCTACTTAATCTTGTGTTATTGCACGATAATTATCACCCAATATGATTAAGGTTATGAAAGCCCTGGCTCACCTAAATAATTTTATTTATTTAAATATAATACCTTGCACATACTTGGGAAAACAGGGTGTGTGCAGAATGAGCCTTCCTGGTTGTCTTGGGTCATAAATTGCACATAGACTCTCATAATGAACCGGCATCAGTGCATCTGTCCCTGTTTAATTGGTGGCTTCTTTTTGAACCCATTCATACTTTTGCCTATATTGACACCCACTGACAATGTTATGCAGTTCCACCATGTACCATATAGGAAAATTTGGCCTTTTGCCTGATGAGCGAATCTGACTCTCCTTGTTCTCTGAAACAGTGACAGATCATTTCAAACTATGCTGGATCCTGAAGCATTCGTGCTTGATTTTGCAAGCTAGTTCTTCATAGAAGGAAATTTACTTTAAAATCTTTCTGGAGATACATTTTAAATTCTGTAAGGTGCTTAAATCTCTGTTGTCAGGATCTATCTAACATAGTTTTGTGAAGGACTGCTGTCAGTCACTGAGCAGGCTTGATGCGAATGAGCACAAACTGATCAATGCAGAATGTGCTTCCCTGCATCTTAGGGTTGCTTCATAAAGCCTGGAAAAATACAAGATGCTTTGTCAAAAATCTAAGGCATTTTTATTGTGTGTGTCCTGCCTGTCTTGAAGTTTACAAAACAATTTTTATACTTTTGTTAATGCTCCCAGCATTTCTGTGCAATCAGCAATTTAAATCATGCTATTCTTGATCAAAAGGCAGGTGCCAAGAGGCATATCCAGGTTTGTTTGGGGTTTTTTTGGTTGTTTTTCTTTAAAGGTATTTGGACATTGTTCTAGTTGGCATTGCTTCACTTAACAGCTGTCCTACATAAGAAGCATTTCTTTTTAATACAGATTAGGCTTTTAAGGCCCAGATTCACCTAACCTAAATTCCAGAGAGCTGTGAGCTTAGTGGTTCTAACTGGCTGTAGATGTGTGAGGCACCAAGCCAAAGGGAAACACAAAGATAGATCACTTCTCTTGCATTTAAGTTTTAGTAGGGCTACTTTTAAAGAGTTTTAAATTTTTGAACAACAAATGTATTTTTCTTAAAAAAGATGTCTGCTACTTTTCTTTATAAAAGTTACTTACATTTTTACATTTGTTTTGTTGCTGTCCTTGTAGTTCTAAATGGGAAATGTCTTCGAAAATGGAATTAGTGAAAAGACTTGATATATTTTCCACCTGAAATGGTGTATATTTTTCCACAGAGAAAGTGCAGAAGGAGCTTGATGCCGTTCTGGGTCCTTCCCAGTTAATCTGCTACAAGGATCGTAGAGAACTGCCCTACACCAATGCTGTGGTTCATGAAGTTCAGCGCTTCAGCAACATTATCTCAGTTGGCATGCCCAGAGTATGTGTGAGGAACACTATGTTGCTCGGCTTTCCCCTCAAAAAGGTACAGACACAGTTCCTCAGTTGCCACAGACCTTTCCTGCATCAGTAGAACAAGGTTGGATTAAAATCTATTTGTACCAGGGTCTTTTACTCCACAGTGGTAGGGTTGGATACCTCTGGGTCACAGCCTGAATGGGAACAAGGACAAGAAACTATCTGCCAGGCTGAGCTGAGTGACGCAGCCCTTCAGAGAGGGTTATCGGTAGTGAAAGGTGCCCCTGGATGGAAGATGGGATTTTCGTGAACATTTTTACAAACCAATGAAGACAAAACCTTAGAGATTGATACTGAAGGAAACTGTGATTAATTTGTGCTAATAAGGCATTGGAAGGATTTCTGACTATTTCTTTGCCTGCAGAAAGCCTGTAAAAGATCTAGGGGAAAAGCATGAGGGTCTGCAATTAGCTTTCCTCAAAGAGACTAAATCAGAGAGACTTCTAATGTTAGAAATGGAAAATAGGTTTAGTAGGAATAAAGTTATTAGTTTCTATTGCCATGGCCACTTCCACTGTCAGGCTTGGACTGACATCCTGAAACAAATAGACATCAGTGATCCTACTGGGGAAATGAACATGTCAGCATACAGCACTGAACTCTGAAGGAAGCTACCACTGGTCTCATCTAGCCAGTTTCAACTGCAGGGGGAGGATTGACAGCCAGAATTAAGTGAGTGTTTTTCTCCTTTCAGGGCACCATAGTTCTTCCAAATATTGCTTCATCTTTGTACGACCCAGAGCACTGGGAAACACCTCGACAGTTCAACCCCAGTCACTTCTTGGATAAGGATGGAAACTTTGTGAGCCAAGAAGCCTTTTTGCCATTCTCAATAGGTAAATGCACTGGCAGCACGAGCATTCATGGTTTGGATGGCTGTAGAACTGGAACAGTAGAATTAAGATGTTTATTAAAAACCTATTGGTCATTTATTTTAAAACTCTTTGTGGAAAACAGTGATAAAATCAATGATTATTTCCAGTAATATTTACCAGTCCAACTCTAAACATTTGTTCTACTGAATAAATTAGAGCGTGGGAAATCAGAGATGTCCTGACAAATGTATACATCTAACTTGCCCTATTTTGGAAGGAAATTCTCTGCTAATGATTATAGTTATTGATTTGGGGCATACATTTCAAAACCAGACATGCATTTGGAAAGTACTTGTGAGCAGCTGTACTGATTTTTTATGCATACAAAATGGGAGCACGACATCTCCTAGGAAGAGCAAGTCCTTATTCTTCATTTACATGATTGAACAAATTCCTTTAAAGTTCTCAGTCAAATGAGGATGAGGTTTTAGAGGTAACTGAAGTGAAACTCAGAGCAGAAGGGGGGCACAGTTATCTATTGCTGCAGACAGGATTCTTTAAAGGAAGAATTGCATCAAGTTTTGTGTCATTGATTGCATTAAGTTACAAAGAAATTCTGGACTCGGCAAATATACCTTTGCTTTGTGTGAGGATGGATACGATTGCTTTTGAGGTCAGGGTATTTTACTCTCTGTCCTTCCCACCTTCCTTCTACAGGGCACCGTGTGTGTTTGGGGGAGCATCTGGCAAGAACTGAGCTCTTTATTTTCTTTGCCAACCTCCTGCGGGCATTCACCTTCCAGCTCCCTGAAGGGGTGATGAAGATCAGCACAGAGCCCATTCTGGGGGGTACGCTGCAGCCTCACCCCTACAGGATTTGTGCCATTCCACGCTAGATTAGATGGGTGCAGTGTGTCACACACCATGTGTGCCTTGTGAATGTGTGTCTTGAATGTCTTTTTTGTCTTTATACGAACTTCTGCTCCAAAAGCCCCCTTTTGTCTAGAGCAGATAATTTTGTTTAGACCCTGTTACCTGCTTTTAAAAATGATTCTTTTTTATTAATCATAAAAGTTCTTTTGCCCTTGAACACACCATCACTCTCAGCTTTAAAGGCATCATGCAGTTGCTGTCTGGCTTGGCAGATTTGCTCACCAGTATGCTGGTGAGCAAATGGCAAAACTGACATGCAGACTTCATCAGTTAATTCATCGTCTCTGAGTTATCCTGTTTTCAAAAGCAGCAGAGTTTGGAAAAACATACCTGGAAAATTTGGACTCTGCATTATTGTCATCATTGGTAACATTTCAGTCAACTTTTTGTTGATGGTCACTAATAAAAGATAAGAAGGAAAAATTAACAATTGGTTTTATTTATGGATGACTTGCAGTTCACTGAGAATGTCTAGATCTGATGCAGCAGAGTTTAATTAGTTTGAGTCTATCAGATAAATGATGCAGGCTGAAACTCAGGGAAGAGTAAACATACAGAAAGGATTTCTTTTAGGGCAGATACTTCTAATATTTTCAAATTCTGCCAAGTTAAATTTTGGAAGCTCCTGAGTTGACTCCTGTCAGGACCAGCACTGGGTGGTTGCTACAGCAGATGCAAGAGGCTCCTCCAAAGGGCAGTTTGGGTGAGGAGCCTGCTCTCATTAGAGCTGATGGTAAATTGAAAAACACACATGGAAAACACCAGAGATACTGTTTAATCACCTCAGAACTTCATCAGTACGCCTGAAGCTACAAAGACTTGTCATATACACAAAATACCTGTCAAATTCAATGAGAGTCTTTAATAGCAGAAAAGGGAAAAAAATGGTTCCTGTGGTGAATATAAATTTATGTATATTGTCTGGAAAAAACTTGTAAGGTTTAAGTGAACTTATCTTTCATTAATACTCCTATTTCTGTGAGAGACGGTAGGACAGCTAAACAGAAGATTGCTTGTTAAATCCATTATCACTAGATGTTGTCTGTTGTGTGATTGAGGTTAGTTTAGGCCGTTTACCATGAATCTCAAATTTAGACCTGTCTCATTATTTCTAATTCAATAGCTGATGGAACAGAGCATCCAAATAGTAAGCACTTGATATTTAGCTATTATTAAATTAAATGGCAGAATAGCACTAGTGAAATATGGAAGAGCCACATCCTGACATTTTATTTGACAGAAGACTGTGTGCCCTGTTAAAAACTGATGTCAAAGTCTCCATGGGTTTGTGTATGTGCATGGGTAGATAAGGTAAAGCAGAAAACACTGTGATTTGGGGATGCTGGAACTGTCTTTGCATGTTAAAAATAAAGCTGAAATCATCAGTAGCATTACAGGTTTTAACATCATTGATGCTGACATTCCTGATGGCCACATGCTTCCCCAGATATCCTTCCAAAAGGGAAACTCACAGATGGGCATGGGGGAGAAGCTTGCCTAGGAAGGCTCTGGAGCCAGAGCAGGATGGGTTGCCTGAGCCCATGGGAATGGCACAACCCAAAATGAGGGGCATAAATACTGCCTTTCCAGGTGCTCGAGAGGAGACACACAGGTGCTGTACACCCTACATGGGTCGGTTATTCATGTGTGGTTGTGCTAATGCCTGTCTGGGACAGGAACTTCTCGTTGGTGATTTTTAACCCATTGTGCACAGCTACCCAGGAAAGGAGAACCCAGCACATGATGTGTGGCAGCAGGACGTCAGCGGAGGCTCACAGCAGGGAGATGATAGAGGTACGCTTTCCAGAGCCTTTGCATCTCTGTTCTTACCTGACCTGTTTTAAAAGTGATTCACTTTCACTCATGTTCTAAAAATGTCTTTCTGAGCTTTTAAAAGCCTTTTACAGCCTGGCTGGTTTTTCCACAGTAGGCCAACAAAGCTGAGGGCAGCTTTGAGAGGAGACCAGCTTCTACTTCCATGTTCCATGCCAGCTGTCTCAGCCTTGGCTGCATGGTGCCTTCTCCATCAGGCTATGGAGCTGTGTCACTCCAGGGCTGCTGGTCTGAAGGGGTGTCTTGGAGATCTCTACTATATCCTTCATTCCTTTCTCTTCTCTTGCTTATTGCTTCTCCCTTGTTTCTCATGGCTTGCTTGGGCTCCATTTTCAAGACAGATGATAGGGATTGACACCCTTTCTGTTCTCTGTATCATGGATGCCCACTAGTGTTAGCGACAGGTCAGTTTGTTGCCCCCACATCATCACTTTTCTCTGTGATGGCTAAGGTTGGTTGCTTCTAGCCTGTAAAGCTGATTGTACTTTGGGTGTAGGGCCCCATTTAAAGGACTGCTGTTACTGGATTATCGCATCAGTGGGTAGGTCAGTCTCTGTCTTGCACCTTCTAGATCACACCTCAAAATTTAAATCCTTGTAGATAGAACACTGAAGAATGATCAGGAGCTGGCCTGGGTGACCAGTGAAGGAGGACAGACTTGCAGGGAGGGGCACTCACTGACTTGGTTAGATCACACTGTACTTTCCAGGAAACAAACTGGAAGTTCAGTTTTGTTTACAAACATGGGAAGATGGTCAGTCTTTAGCAGAGTTGTTTTATAAGATAAGGACACTTTGCTTTGTCCTTCATCACCCTCTCCTTCCCTTGTTGCTGAGCTCTTCCCTTGTGGCTCCCCAGAGCAACACTGTGCAACCACTCAACCATATGGCTATAAAAGAAAATACAGAAAGTGTAGAGAGGCAAAGTTGAAGAATTTGGGTTCATGTAACTCTAAAGCCTTATGATACCATGAATCTCATCTGTCTTCCTTTCCACTGAATTCTGCAGGAACACTCTGAACCCAGAGGAGTTATCTAGTGAAGGTGGCTTCACAACTCTCTGTCTCTGGAGTAGCTCATGTCAGCAGGTGTGACAGGTAATCTCCTTGAGTTTAAAAATGAGGCCAAAATATAAAAGGGAAAACAAACAAACAAACAAAAAAAAAAATTTGTGCCTTTACTTTAAAGTCATTTGGAGAGAGAAAGCTATTCTATACATAACTATAAATGACAACTAAAACAACTCATTTTATTGGAATAAACCAAGATCAATCTGTTTTATTCCAAAATCAGGTGGACATAAGGTTTTCTGTGAGAGTTTTAACTTTGTTAAAAACTGATTTTCCTGAAATTAACATGCAAAATATTTTTCATGTTTACAGATCTTTACTCAACAGAGGAGAAAACTTTCTCAAAGGTAGGAGGTTAAGAATAGTAGGTAAATGCTTAGTGCAGACATCTTTTAAAATATACTTTGGCCTAGCAGTTTTCGGGGGTTTTTTGTTTGTTTGTTTGTTGGTTTTTTTTTTTACATGGTGATGATAAAAAAGAAGAATTCTAAGGAAAGGAGAAAGGTCAGGAAAACAAAGCAGTTCCAGGAAGAAAGCCTTAGAGTTAGTGAGAATTTAGATTTTTCCAGTTTCAGCTAGAAGACAGATAAAGCAGCAAGGAGATGTGAAGATTGAGCAAATCTTCAGTAGCTCAAATTATTTCTCTTCTAGCTGTTTGCTTTCTGAACTTACAAAGACTTCAAGCACTTATATCAAATACCCTGTTGAAGAGAAGGCACAATGGTTGCACAGCTGAGCATTCAACACCAAGCCTTCTGAATTGGCTGTAATGACCTTGCCCAGCCTGCAGAGAGCTTGCCCAGGGGAGCAGTTAGCCCAGGTGGGATTTTGTCTTTCTGCAGTGAGCTTCTTCCTGATGAAGTTAACTCTTGCAGAGCCAGAGTATTTCTACTCTGCACTGTGCTGTGTCTCCAGAAAAAATGTGGACCTTTCCCACCTGTGGCAAGCATTCCCCTTTAACAGGGAGAGAAATGTGGCTCCTATGAAAGAGCAAGAGAAGGACAAGGGCAAGAAATAGAGTAAGGTGGAGTTATTTAATATGAATTCCCACATTAATAAGGACACAATTCTTGCTTGTTTCTTCTTGTTTCTACAGCCTTAACAAACATATTCTGGTGCATCCACTGTGTCAAAAGTACAGCCTAAAGTGAATGCTTCTGTGTTGCCTCAATCCTTGAGGAGTTTGCCAATGACTATTGAGATGAAAATTTCAGCATCTGTAACTTCTAGATTTGCTCCATGTATCATTAAAGTTTATAGACAAAGCAAATATAAGTAATAAAGAATAAAACTTCTGTATTTCAGTAATATAATGAGGACCAAGGAAAGTGCTGGTTTCTTAAAACTGCAATACATGAGGAAGGCTCTCTGGCCGACGGACAACTTAATGCCTTTTTTGGCTTAAGGAAATGTCAGCCATCATCTAAAGTCCAAGACATTTAACACCACTGATGCTCATGGAAAATTTCTGTCAATGTTATGAAGAAGAGGTTAGAAAATAAGTAGATAAACATGGTATTTTCAAATTGGCTGGGCTGATTCATCCAAGGGCACATAGGAACAGTATCAACCATAGAGCTATTAGCAATTATCTATGAGAACCTGTGGAGTATGGCAAAAAGTCAAACATTTTCTTGTCTTCAGAAAGTAAGAGAAGCTGCAGTGTTATGAATCAGTCAGCCTGATTGCATTTCTCAGACTATTCTAGGAAACTAATGAAATTGTAAGCACTGGGATGAAACCAGGAAGTATCAGTACACATCAAATAATCTCAAAGTTACTTACTTTGTTTGATGACATTGCCAGCGGTCTGTTTTCAGGAAAGAAGCCATCAATGTGGTTTACTGCTCTTTAATGTGGCTTTGACACAATCTCAGAAACTCTAGGGAAATGTAGGCTATCTGAAGCCTTGCAAAGATTTTGGAAAACTCAGGAAATATCTATGAACAGTACTGTGTCAAACTGGTAAGATTCACTGAATGAGATTCTGTTCCACATTTAGGTACTATTCAATATTTAATCAAGGACCTTGGTAGTTAGCATAAGCACCACGCCTGGTAA